GCCACTCCTTGGAAGGAAGATGGGGCAATCTACTTCCATAGTGATACTGCCTCGGAAACCCAAGGAGGGGTCACTATGAGTCGGGTCCAACTCAACAGCACGTAACAACAACAGTCATTAATAACACTGATTTTCTCTACACAAATATGCTTGGAAAATATGTACACAAGTGAACTTTGTTTTTCAAAAGTCAATATTCTTGTGATTCTTCTTAGGATATCTTAATCCCAATTTGACATTCAAGTAAGAAAATCAATTGCTTTTTTTAGTTATAAGAAGTATTGTATTTCTTTATTCACTGTTGTTATCTTTTAGTTCCTCTTTCCCTGGGTAGCTCCATGTTGATCTTCCTTAGAACAAATCTTCCACTGAAAATATTATTTGGGGCTATGATGGTGCATTTTTTGGAAAAGTTGATGAAGGAAAATTGAGACAGGAAGCTAAGAAATGCTGAATCTTTCAATTCTGGGATGCAACTTGCCTAATGTAAGACCATTTATCTGTTGCTCTGGTATACATGTTGCCATGGAGCCAGTTCAGACTCATATGGCCCTATAGGACAGAGTAGAACTGCTCCATAGAGTTTCCAAGGCTGTAAATCTTTATGGAAGAAGATTGGCACATCTTTCTCCCACAGACCTGCTGATGGGTTTGAACCACCAAACTTTCAGCTAGCAGCCAAGCGTGTAACCATTGTACCACCATATCTCCTTTTTGAGTTGGTATAGGAGGGTATAACTATTTGAAAATAAAAATAAAAAGAAGTCAATGTGAACCACAGCAAGGCCTCCAGACTCACTAAACTTCGTGTTTTGCATATCAAGAGTATCCTTTTTGTTCTCAAAATGCTTTCATGTCTATGGTTTTATTTTATTCTCAGCACATCCTGGTGAGCAAATACAGAAGGTACATGTTGCAATGTATGTCGGACATAATTTTGTAAAGAATTTAAAGAACTCTTCAAATCAAAGCTAGTACTATTTTATTATAGATGAAAACAAGTTGAAAAATAACAGCTTAAGTAAATTGCCAAAGGTGGTGGTCTGATCACTCTTAGACTATACAAAATAAGGCATCTAATGCTTTTTGCCAGTTATAATAATCAAATCAGAAACATTTCAATATAATGTAAAATTATTTTTAAATAGCTGTTTCATTACAAATGAATGAGCATTTTGCATACGACATTCCTGGGACATTTTTCTTATTTCAGACAGCATTGTAGAAAGGTAGAATGTGGGGAGTAGTACCAATACCATTTTCTTTGTAATTCAGTGCTTCTTTGAATATGGTCTGCTGATTGCATCCTCTCCTTACTTATCAACATGATCAAGTTCCAAAGAGCAGGTCATTATTCAAAAACTAGCATTATGTGAAAATGGAGGATGACCACAACATATTACAAGATGGAACATGACTACATCATTACATAACTTCCAAGCCACTGAGAATCATGACCAAGCCAAGTTCACACATAACCCTAACTATCACAGCCAGGGTTCCTCTCACCTTGCACCTTGCCTTTTGCCATTCGTTGTTGCTGCCAGATGTATGTCATTAAAACCCAAAACAGACATATATTAAATTTTTCACTATTGTCAAATATGTGAAATATTGGATAATTCAATAGTGGATAAGTGAGTGCTTGGTGTATGTCAAAGACTTAGTAGAAATTCACATTACTTGGTCCCTTCCCAGGGCTACCAAATGAGATTTTCTGAGCTCAGGGTCTAGGAATCTGCATTTTGATCCAAATCTGAGAACCACTATTATGCAAGTGATTAGGTCCTCACATGCTCTAATGGAAAGAGGATTCCACTGAAATTAATGGATGTGGGCCATGGCTCTGTTCTTTCTGTTAACTTTCATTAGATAAATCACTTTTTCTCCACGAGTTTCAAGTTTTCTTTTTCATATGTAAAATATGGGAGTTGAATAATGATCTTAGTGGTTCTGTAAGTCTATAATTTGGGGTCAGATGGTGATGTCACAATCCCCTAGTATTTTTCCAACTGTTCTAAGTCACTCAGCTCCCCATTACCACTGAATTGGAAGAGATTAAACTCTAGGGCACTAACTAGTTAATCAATTAGGACTCATTCTTCCACTTCTTCCACATTCCCCAGTATAAGAATAGTCAAGGAAGCCATGATTTTTTACCCAATTCGACACCACGTAATGACTAATTCAGGAATATCTTTCATAGGGTTACTGTATTGCTCTCTTAACCACAGGTTTCAAAATATCCAGGATTAAAATTGGTATACTAACCTGTGCTGAATTCTTTTCAAGTTTTTGGACTAAATTATCCCAACGCTGCGCAAAGTTTTCCAGCCATGTTTCCATCTTCTGGGCCACTGATTTATTTTTCAGTGTTGAAAGAAGATCTTGGTTGAGAGAGGAGAGTTTGTCCATGGTTTGCTTTTTCTTTTCTAGGTCTGTTTTTAAAACCTAGTGAAACAAGGACGATTAGAGCATAAGTCTAGGTTACATTTCATAAAGCATAGCTCAATCTCTTTTTGCATGTATTCTCTCATTTGTACAGATAAGATTGCAATCATGCCTGCAAATGATCAGTAGATCAAAATGTAAGTAGAAATTTACAATTCTAACAACCTTCCCAAGAACTTCAAAAAAGAAAATGTCAGATGTAGAATAAAGACCTAGAATAATATTATCTATAATCTATCCAGTGAAAGCAGTTCCTATTGAGTAGATTCCAGCTCATGGTGAGTCAATGTGTGTCAGAGTAGAATTGTATTTCATGGGGTTTTCAATGGCTGCTTTTTCAGAAGCAGCGCACCAGTCCAATCTTCCAAGGTGCCTCTCAATGGATTCCATCCTGCAACCTTTTGGTTAGCAGCTGCGCATGTTAACCGTTTGTATCTCTAACTGTAAGAAGTGAAAATACTTAAGCTCTACCTTTAAATATTTCAAAGACTGCCAATTGAAAATGTAGAATGGTTTCAAAAGTCAGAACACAGAGCAATATATTAAAGCTAATTTTTAACATTTCGAGGTGTTCAAAAGTGGAATGCATGACTCTTGCATGATGGTGGATTTTTATTTCATTCTTAAGAAAATTCAAATGGAGACTGATTTCTGCATGCCAGGAATTCTGAAGAGGAGATCCCCTGAGAAGGTGAGAATGGTAAAAGGGCCTTGCCTTTCTGAAATTCTGCAATTATTCAGATAGAACTGCAATATTATTTATTTCCACAATTTTAACATTCTGTTCAGTATTTGAAGATAAAAACCTCGTTATGTGGCTTACTGGTTTTTAAATTTTTGTAGCATTGACTATCCAATTAACATTTGCCTATTTGAGTAATTATTTTCTAAAGCTAATTTTAGAGCCCATTAAATAATAGAACTAAGTCATTGAGTACAGTGCAAATCCATGGAAATAAGGTTGGATGTTTTCTAAGGACTCATGTTTTATGCAGTATTTTTTACATCATTCATAGTTCCCAAAGTCCTGCAAGCTACAGACAGTACACATGCCTTTTAGTTGGTGGAGTATGAATAAATAAAGAAGCTTGTGTAAAAACAGTAGATCAGGACAGCTTATTCTTTCACTTTCTCCATTAAGGTCACTCTGTACTTTGGGAAATTCAATTTCCAAGTCCCAAATGCTAGTCCCTGAGTTAACTTGTAAACAAAGAATGTACATGTATATGCATCTATGTGACTATATGCACATACATTAATTATATGTGCATATAAAGTACACAGGGGGCACAGATAAAGATATTTCTTACACATAATCAAACACCTTGTGGGAATGGTTTTCTAGGTTTGAAAGACTAGGACCATAATCTCATGGAACATCTTGGTCAGTTGGCATAATACAGTTTATAAAGTTATGTTCTACATCCTAGTTTGGTGAGTGGATGGGGTCTTAAAATTTGGAAACAGCCATCTAAAATACAATTCTTGATCTCTACTTGTCCAGCGCAAAAGAAAAAGAAGGAAACAAAAGACTCAAAGAAGAAACTAGTCTACAGGACAAATAGTCTACACAAACCATGGCCTCATCTACCCTGAGACTAGAAGAACTAGGTGGTGGCTAGCTGCCACTACTGACCATTCTAATCAGAACCACACTGGATAGACACTGACAGAATGGGGAAAAAAAAAAAAAACCAGACTTACTGGATTGATTGAGACTGGAGGACTCTGACTATTGCCCTGAGGTACTCTTCAAACCTTGAAGTATAATGAATCCCTGAGGTCATCTTGTGCTAAATAACAGATTGTCTCACAAAATAATGAGTGACACCCATAAGTACCATGCTTCTTTAAAAAATTACTTACATGGTATGTCTTATACAGGGAGGATGGTGCCCATGACCATGTATAGGGTTGGCAGACAATGTTTCTACAAGTGTATTTCTATGAGCTGACAAGGGACAAGGTTGTAGTCACTTCTTGGCCACAACCAGCTACCCAAGGGAGCAAGTAGTTGGACCTATGGGCTCGGGACCATGGTTGCAGGGAACATCAAGCTCAATTGGCATAACGTACTACACAAAAGCATTGTTCCATATCCTACTTTGGCAAGTAGCAACTGGGATCTTAAAAGCTTGCAAGAGGCCATCTAGATGCAACGATGGGTCTCCCTTCATCCAGAGGAAATAAGAATGAAAAACAAAAAAATAAGACACGTGGAAACAATTAGTCCAAGTGACTGGTACACCAAGCAATCCTTGGCCTATCTGATTATGAGACTGGAAGAACTAGATGGTGCCCAGCTACCACTGTCAACCACTCAACCACTCAGAGGGGGACTTATGTAGGAGATCCTGGATAAAGTGGGAGAACAATGTAGAACAAAGGTCAAAATCATAAAAAGGGGGGGGGACCAAATTTGCTGGT